CTAACGTGTAGAAAGTATAACAAGCAATGAAGGTAAAAGAAACTTAACGAAACGGTTGTAACAGATCGTAACTGTTCCTTACAGTACTTGGTTAAACGCACTATTTCTGAAGTAACTGTCAGCTAAAAACACTAGTTGAGAATGAGCTCCTGTATGTATGCTGGGGGCCGACGGGCCCGTTGGGGTCTTGATTCGGATGAAACTGAAACAAGAATAAGATCAGTGTCAGTGGGGGTGGAGTCTTCTTGCTGCTCGGCTTGGTGCGGGGTGGAGGCTGAAGGGTCTGGGCTGGGCGGACGTAACAAGTCCGGTGAGGCAGAGGGCTGTTGACACGGCTGGGGCTGCTCAGCAATCTCCTCACATTCGTCGTCGTCAAGTGTAGGGACAACAGACTGATATGATGGTGGTGGAAGGGTGTGTGGTACAGTGTAACACTCGGCTAGCTTCACCTTGTAGGATGTAGCCCTGAGTTGCGAGCCAGAGAACTTCTTAATGAAGCACCATTCGCCGTCAATGCTAACAATGATATAGCGGTCGCGAGTGCGTGACTTGTCTCGGTCAGACTTCACATACACCAGGTCTCCAACCTACAAGGGGGAATGGGAGCTTGTGGCTGGGAACCGTCTTCGGCGGCTTCGCTGAAGGGATGGTTGTCTTGGCGGGCTTGGTGCTTCGCTACGATGTGCTGTAGGTCATTGACAGGTATCTACTCATTGGAGAACCGGTTGCGTTGTGTCCAAAGCTCCCGTGAGGACAGGCCTTGGCTGCGGAGTCGCGAGTTGAGGCGGGCAGTGGCGATGGCAAGGCCTAGTTCAGTAACAGGACCTCCGCCAGGCTCCTGACGTAACAGCTCTTCTTCTAGTTCCAGCACGGCTCGTTCAGCAACGGGATTTTTGTTGGTGTTTTTAACGCGACCAACTTTGATTGAGCTGTTGAGAAGCTGTAAGGCGTTGGTGTTTTTCAGCGAGACAAATCCGGGTGCAGGGTCGACACGAATCACAGCTTGGGCACCATCGAGGGGGGTGTAGACCCACCACTAATCGGGCGAGGGCATCACGAAGGGTATCACTCTTCTCATCGGGTACAAGGCACGATGTAGTGTAAGAGGTGGTACATTCTCTCAAAAGCAGGATGAATTAGCGATTACGGATAATGATATCGGCTGCAAATGACACGCCTACAACTTCGGGTGGATCTTCCGATGTTTGGCTGGTAAGGGAGGTAGGGAACTTCTTGAGAGAGGCACAGGTGTAGCAGGAGTCTGATACCCGAGTGATAGCAGCACTCATATCCAGGGCAAAGAAGTGACGCTGTATCACCATTTGGAGTTGGTTCTTAGAAGCCTGGTCAAGCTTGATGTGAATAGCAGTAAGTAGGCCGTCAAGTACGGAACGAGGTACGACGATCAACTCAATAGGGTGGGAGAGTGGTTGTGGACGCTGAACGACGAGCAGGCCATCCTTGGAAATGGAAGTGATGTTAAGATAGCGCTTTACGTCTCTGATGTTGGTCAGTTTCTTGGAAGGGCGGGTGCCCTGTTTCAAGTGAGCACAGACGCACCGTAGATCGGGGCACTCATTTTGAACACTGAACCATGCAGGTCTGCTGGGAAAGGGTAGGCGCTTTGTGTTGTCAAGGACTTCTTGAGTGGAGATACCACGTACAACTGAAGACTCTGATTCGTGAACGAAAGAGCAAATTTGGCAGTTCGGTTCATTGCAGTCTGGAGCATTACGACTGGCAAAGTCAGAGGGTAAATTGGCAGTGCCAGCGAGATGCTGGATGTTAACTTGGTATCTACCTACCGTGGTCAAGAAGGAGGTAACTCGTGGACTGGCGGAAAATTCACCTCGGCAAAGTTTGCGCAAGGCCTGAACACAGGGCTGGCTATCGGTCAGAACGCAGGCACGGTGCTTGGATTGGATGACGAAGGGGCTAAAGTGCTTTACGGCAACTGCGATAGACAAGGCTTCGACCTCACATGGTAACCATGTGACCTGATGCTTGCGTAGTTTAGAGCTGTAGAAGCCGGCAAGGAGGAGGCGGTCCTGGCGAGTAACGTACAAGGTGGCTCCGAGACCACGCTGGGTTACTGAGCCATCAGTCACAATCCAAAGCTGGTCAGAGGCACGAGCGAGGACGATAGACTTCTGTGAGTTAAGGGCATACGTAGGGTTCGCCAATACCCTCTGTGTGTCCCTGGCTATTATTCGTCGTCTTCACAAATAATTTGACATTTTCATCAGACTTTGAGATGAGCAATTTACCTGCTAGTTATGTGGAGGGGTTCCATTATGAGGAAGCTGTTAAACGAATGAAATATCAGCCGTTAGGAAAGACAGGAATGACCGTTTCCAAGTTAAGTTTTGGTAAGGTGCATTAGCTGAGTAAAACTTGGTTAAAGTAAGCCATAATACTGGGCCTTTAGAAATATACTGGAAAGATTTGCCTACAACCCCATACATTTAGTATGCATGCAGTGCCACGTTGAAAAAGATTATGACCGATGTAAATGTATTGTCCATGGCGGCCATCTTGGAATGAAGAGGAGGCTACAGATAGGTGCAGCATTGCGGACTATCACTGTATCATGACTAATACCATACATGAAAAAAATTGCTCGATTCTGATTGGCTGAGAGCAGTGCAGTTCAAGTGTAACACCAGTGCAAAAAGTTTAACATCAGTGCAAATTACACATTGTAATTCATAACTGCACATTCGTAATTATGATTGGCTGAATGACAATAGGAAATTTTCTTAGCCAATGATATCATGTCAAATGAAGATGAAAATTTTGTGTGGAAACTTTGAAAAAGGTTTTCTTGAATGAGAAAAAATGGCTTCAAGAAAGATCTTTTGGCACTTCCTCCACACAAATTTTTTCATGTTTGCATTATAAGAAATCATATGGTTTTTCTTGTTTAACCCATTGACTCCTGCATGAAATTTCCCGCAACCCACCCCTAAATTCCCTGGCATTTTTGTGAAATATTTCAGAGCGGGCGAAAGCGCAAGAATAAACCATATGCGCAGTAACCACAGACACAAGATCAGGTTTCAAGACCACGTTTATTTAAAGTTGAATAAACGAAGGGCCAAAGTATTAAAAAATATTAACAAAAAGAACGCAACTTGATCTGTAAAACTGATAAGAAAACAAGAAATTACTTTTTTTTCTTTGCTGTGCGACAAAAGCCGAAAAAATTGATTACGCAAAAATGAGTTAATTTTTGACTTCAGAGGACAAAACGAAACTGAATACAACAGTATTTCTACTCTTTTACTATAACGGATAACATTGGATGAAACACCCGAAAATAACAGCGAAAGACATGTAAAAACCAATTTAAAAACAAGAAATCAGATAATTTCTTTGCCGCACAATGAAATAATACAGCGCAGCGAAATAAAGATGAAAGTTGTACATCAAAAAGACGACAAAAACAAGCCAATGATTTTGAGATAAATGGTATTTCAAATGTGTTAATTTAGCTCCCACTTAGTTCTTTTCTCAGGAGTTCTGTAGCAGCTGAATGAGACTCAAAAAGTATATTTGAACAAAGTGAGTAAACTAAACAAACAAACCATGGGGGTTGCCATAAATTAAATATGCAGAAATCCAGCGTACAAAAATACAGGAAGTTCAATAACAATAAATTTTCATTCAAGATGAGGCAAAAGAACTTATCTAAAAGCATGCTTTTTCATGGCCGGTTACGGCCAGCACAGGAAATTGGGGGTGGGTTTTCGCATGGCCGGCTACGGCCGGCACGGGAGTCAGTGGGTTAAATTGGAATTAATTTGCTCTTGTGAGTTTTTCGAAAAGGTGAAATTCCACTCGTGGAAGCGGCTTGTGCAATTTCAGCTTTTTTAAAAACTCTCAAGTGCAAATTAATTTCAAATTGACCAAGAAAGCATATGATTACCTGCACTAATTATCACTTGTGATATATAAAGCTAACTGAACTGAGTGGAGTATAAATTTGGTCTGAAATCATACGCGTGATTTCAAAATGGAACGAGCGTGCAGCGCGAGTTCAATTTGAAATCACAAGTATGACTTCAGACCAAATTGCATGACATGAAGTTCAATTGCCACTTTATTAGATCCATTTTGAAATCGCACAATTTTGTCCCCTTAAATTTTAGATTTTGTTGTATTGTTCCATTAGCCGGTTCGTTGAAAATAGCGGAACCGGAAACACCTTTACGTCTCATTAAGTATGCAAAACGATGTTTTGACGAAAACTCATTTGAACATGACAAAGAAACAAGCAGTTCTGAAGTCAGAATGAAAATAGTCTACTTTATGCATAAGAGTTCAATTCTCGTTGTCTGAATCAATGATGGAAGACCTTCCTTTCTTCTGTGGTTGAGGCTGAGACTTTTTGTTGTCTTTGGAGAAGGAATTAATTTTGAAGGTGCATATCCTGGGTAATTCTGCGATGGATTTCTTTTGAGTTGTGAAACTCCCTTGAGTGCACAATGCCTAGTGGATAGTACATTTTTTTCTTTTAAATACAGTTAAACGGCATGATTTTAAGGGAGTCCAGCTCGTTATCATCTCCTTTTTTTCTGTGAACTTGGCGTAAAACTCAATACTCAGGACCTTGTCAAGTTCTTGTGGCACCATTTGTTTCAAGATTTTTTCAAGATGGTGGGACTGGCACCAGCTTCAGAAGACGTTCGTTCATTCACTGTTTTGTGGAGCAGGGTATATTTTGACTATGTTTATTCAAAGCAACAGAGTTGAGCTCTTTTGTTGCTTCGTTTGAAACTACTGGAAACCTGGAAACATCTACCTTCTTGAGATGGCTCTGAATTTGCTGTTGTGTGGTTTTCGTTTGTTTATGATTTACTGGACTCGGTATCATACGGATCTTGAGCAGATTTTTAAGAAAAATCCCCAAAATATTCATCAAAATGGACACTGAAAGTTGGAAACTTCCATTAAAGAAGGTCTTCAGCTTGAAGGAGCTCATAATCATCATTCAGAAATTGTAATTAATGAAATTCATCAATTTTTTTTGAAAAAACAATAACAACAAAGTTTTGGCAATAGTAGTTGCAAAATTCTCCACACAAGGCTTTTTGCCTTTAGATTTCCCGAAATTTTATTGATTACGTTAAACTAACCTTGAAATCTGATTGGCTGTTTTGTTTTACTGTCCCATTCTCATTGGCTGAGAAAAAGATGTAATTTAGAGCAAAAAATAGTGTGATTCGTGAATAAATCATACCACTGAGGGCCAATCAGATTGCAAGGATAACCAGTGATTTCAAAATGGATTTATTAAATCACGAAATATCTTCTATGTTGCTTGTAAGCACTGTAGCTAATATCATGATTTATCACTGGTTTTATAAGGGATTGATTTTTGAATATTCTGCATTAGGTGTTTATTATATAAGCACATGTTATCATGATATTATTAGAATATTTTAATGATTAATTAGAATTTCATCTTCCCCCTGTGATTTAGTGATAAACCATGATATTATCGGAACATATATTAATTGAGAATTCTTCCCCCTGTGATAAAGTGATAAATCATGATCAGAAGCATATCACCTAGATGATATGCTTCTGTCATGATACAATACAATGCTGTCCCTTTACAACCATTAAAAGCTAACCGCAAGCAAATAGCAGTGAAACTAGCTGATTTTGATATTATCATGATAATTTATATCAAGCAGTCACTGTCAGTGTCTGATCCTCTTTGTTACATGATAAAATCACTCAACTGAGATTTGAGAATAAGAGTGATACATGATATTATAGCTTGCTATTGTGAACTATAGTTTTCCATGCTATTCTCATGATGATTTGATAGTGATACTTTGATATCTCAATTTACCACTTTTTCAGCAGCTATCATGATGATAATCTCATGTAATAAATTAAATGATATTTTGATAGGAATGATTTCATGATGTTATCATTCTATTATCACCAAAATATCAGTAAAATATCAAAATATCAATTGTCAAACTAATGATATTCTATAGAATTATTTTGATAAACTGCAATCCTGCATCTTAGTGCTACCAGGGAAGGTGGGAACCAGAAGATTTCAGTTGTTTGCCGGTTTGATAGAAAACTCAGTTATTCACTTCTAATGTAAAGGATATAAACCCTGTTGAAGTGACTGAATCCCAGGAAGAGGCAACTGCTAAAATGGCTGTACAATACATTTGTCCTCTGGGAGTCCAGCAGCAGACAGAAAACTGAAAATTGCTTCAACAACTCCCAAAATATCTCGGCAAATAAGATTGGTTGTAGTTGGTGATTCTTCAAGCTGTAAGTAATTGTGTTTGAAAAACTTTGTTGTTTTTGTGTATCGTGTCAGTTGTGTATTCATCCTCTACAGCGTCTCTCTTTTCCTGACTGGATGTTTGTTTGACTTTTCTGGAGTTGGTCTTGGTGAAGGAAGTTGAATGTAACTTCCTCCTAGGATGTGTCATAGACGGTCTGGGGAACTCAGTACCAGGAGCACCCTCTCACTTTCTGGACTGACAAATTTCTTCATGTGGCCAATGTTGCTCAATTTACTCTGGCCTATGAAATTTTCAATGATAACTGCATTGCCATTCTTCTCCTCGACTCGATATGACTCTGGTTCAGTTGACGTAGTAAGATCATGTCACCCTCTGCTATGTCACTCGATCATGTCATTGTCTCCTTGAGTCTCCGAGCTTCTTGGGTGCATACCCTTTTGCCTGCATCAATTTGTTGCTAGGAAAGCATTCTTTCTAGTAGTAACTCAATTCCATGTGGTATGTGCCTTGGTCAAATTCCACAGTGGGCTGGCACTAATAGCAAAGCTCTGAATGGACCTTGAACAATATTGTGCCAAGCCAAGGAAGCTTTGTAGCTCTGATCAGTCAATTCTGTGTTTCCGCTGCCTGCACAATGGCTTCAACCTTGTTACCAGACACTTGTAATCCTTGGTCAGACAACAGATTACCAAGGTGCTCCATGCTACTCAAATCTATTTGGCACATCTATTGCATACTTCCACATTAGACCACTTTCTTCTTCACTTGATCCAGCTAGTGATCATGCTCTTCTTGTGAAGCAACAGCTACATGTACATAGATATCATCATGACCGTTCTGAGCACCAAGGCAATCTTTGAGAATCTGTGAGATAATATGTTGAAATTTGTCAGTGGCCATATTTATACCAAATAATGGATGCTTATAGCAGTAAAATCCATTAGGCCTGGCAAAAGTGGTAATATCTCTTGACTCTGGATCAAGTTCTACTCGGTGAAACGCTATTTTCAAATCTTACTTGAAAAAGACTTTTGCCCCTGAGATTTCTTGCAGAGTCACCTCGGTGATTGGTATAGGATATTTCTCTCTCAGTATCATTTAGTTGATTTGCCAGGTATCACACATCACCATTTGTTTGTTCCACAGCAACAAGGAGGTTAATCTAACTTGAAGACCCATTCATTTTCTCTATCATGTCAAGTGCCTCAGGTTCCTCTAGATTATCAATAACCTTTTGCATCCTGCTGAAAGGGATTCCTTGCATGGCTTAAGTGATCAGGGGAACACTGTCAGTCATATTAAGTTTCAAGTGAAAGTTCTTTAATTTTCCTAGCCCAGCAAACACTTGTGGGCACTTTGCCTTTAGAACAGCCATCTTATTAGTAGGATCTTTGGATTCACAAGCATTGACAAAAAGCATCTAACATATAAATTAGTATTTCAGGATACCTAATTCTTTAGATGAACTTCTCCCTAACAAGGTGTCATCAGTCCAAGACATTATGAAGAATACTGTTACAGTATTCAATGACCTTTGTGTAGCAGGTACACAAATGTTCAACGCACATTTTCCTCTAAGCTTTAAGGGCTGTTGCATAAACTTTCCTGTCACTCTTCAACAATTCTTTTTTTCCCTTTGGACACTTCTTAATTATCAAACAATTGCTCAGACATTAGGTTGCAGGTAGCACCTGAGTTTATGATGACATGGACAGGTTCATTTTCAATCATAAGAGGTAAAGTGTTTGACTCCCCCAGGGTGAGATGAAATTCAAAAACTCCACTTGCCCTTTGGGCAAGCTGTAATTTCATCTTACTAGCCCAAATCTGTGAGGAGTTAGCCTGAAATTATGTTATTTCATAAGGATAATTAACGACAATAACTTTTAACAATAACTTTATTAATGTGTCAAATACATTCTAGTCGAGGATAAAAAACCCTCTACTAATAGGGGACACATAAAATAAATAAAATAAATTATAAAATTTAAAAACCTAAATTTGATATTTACAATAAAAAGAGACTAAAATTTAACTACATTATTTACAGTAATTCCAACAATTCTAAAATAATTCAATATGCAAAAAGAATGATAATGAATTATTTAATTAATTAATTAATAATACAGAGCTTAGATTCACTAAATCTCTTTGATTTCGCTTTTGAATTTTATGTCCAAATTGGACATTAAAGCTGCCTTCCGGAACATCCCGGTCCACCCCTCTGATTGGGAACTGATTGGGAACTGCTAGGGATGAAGTGACAAGGCCTGTATTTCTTTGATATGGTCCTTCCCTTCGGTCTGCGCAGTGCCCCCTTTCTCTTCGACCAGCTCTCCTCGGCCCTCGAGTGGATCATTCTGCCGAACCTGTAGTAGCTCTGACCACCATGCTGACTCTCTACTTCCCTGGAATTCATGGGTATCCTCTAAGACTCCCACACGATGGAGGACCGCCTCCCACAAGACAAGCTCGCTCGTACCAAACAGGCCCTCCATCAGTGGTCCTGTAAAAAATCAGCCACCCTCCAAGAACTTCAATCCCTAATAGGCACTCTCCAATTCGGATGCCGGGTGATTGGCCCAGGTCGCCCCTTCCTCCAACGTATCATCCACCTTACCAAGGGTACCCATCTCCACCACTGGCACATCAAACTCAATGCCGGTTTCCGTAAGGACATCAAGATGTGGGTTGATTTCCTAGAACACTGGAATGGGGTAAGCATTTTTCTTGATTCCCGTGTCTCCAAACCCCCCGACCTCCAACTTTTCACAGATGCCTCCGGGTCCATAGGCTATGGAGGGTTCCTANTCTTCCTAGACTCCCATATAATGGAGGCCCAACTCCCACAAGACAAGCTCGCTCATACCAAACAGGCCCTCCATCAGTGGTCCCCTAAAAAATCAGCCACCCTCCGAGAACTTCAATCCCCAATAGGCACTCTCCAATTTGCTGCATGGTGACTGCCCCAGTTTGCCCCTTCCTGCAATGTATCATCCACCTAACCAAGGGTACCCATCTCCCCCACTGGCACATCAAACTCAATGCTGCTTTCTGTGAGGACATGAAGATGTGGGTTCATTTCCTAGAACACTGGAATGGGGTAAGCATTTTTCTTGATTCCCATGTCTCCCACCCCCCAATGTGTAACTTTTCACAGATGCCTCCGCGTCCTTAGGCTATGGAGGGTTCCTAGACGGGCTATGGTTCCAGGGTCACTGGCTACCAGAACACACCCTTAACAAAAAACGGGGCATCAGTATCGAATGGCAGGAGTTATTCTCCATCAACCTGGCATGTGTCCTGTGGGGCCCCACCTGGCTGGGGAAGCGTATCCTGATGTGGTGTGACAGTCAGTCAGTCATAGCCATCATCAACTCCAAACACTCCGAGTCTCTCCAGGTAATGGACCTTGTTCACAGCATCACCCTCCATACTCTAATTAACAACTTCACAATTAGTGCTACCCACATCCCTGGGCTGGATAATGCTATTGCTGACTCCCTTTCCCTTTTTCAGTTGGATCGTTTCTTGGCCCTGGCTCCCACAGCCTCTCTCACTCCCTGCATCATCCCTTCATCAGCGATGCTCATCTGACAGCCTCTGTACAGCAATGCTTCCATGCCTCTCTCGACCCCCTCCACATGGCGAACCTACCAGGCAGGTGAAAAACATTTCTTAAACTTCACCCTTATGCATGGATTGGTGGGCCCCTTTCACCCCCTATTGCCAGCATCAGAACTGACTCACTTATTGTGCCTCTCACTTAGCCAAAACCATTTCATATGACAGTCAAACTAATGGGTTGCTGTTCAAGACCTCCATCGTGAGCTCAACTTCCCCCTCCATATCAACAAAATGCATCATCTTCAAAAAGTCCCGACAGGTATAAAACGCCTAGCCCCCTCAAGAAGACGCGATCGCTTCCCTATCACTACCCAAATCCTCACATGCTGCACTTTACCCCACAGTAAGGCTCTAGCCCACTGGAGACAGGTCTGGAGAAATTACCTATTCCAAGGAGGCTACCCCCGGTACCACCTGATCTGTACTGTTCCCTCAGTCCCCCGGGACTGTGGGATATGGGCCTCACCCCTGGAGGCAGGTCTGGAACTTTTATTCCAGGGTGGCTACCCCCGGTACCACCCGATCTGTACTCCCCCAGGAGGGCCTCCTTCCTAGGCCCCTACTCCCCAGTCATCCTTTCCTGCCACCTAAATTTTACCCACAGCCAGTGTGTTATTTCCTAAATGTACAGATGTAGTATCTTTAGTGGCAGCTCAGACCAGGTCTCGAAAGAGGATCATTAAGGATTATTAAACAATTTAATATGCAAAAAGAATGATAATTAATTAATTAATTAATAATACAGAGCTTAGATTCAGTAAATCTCTTTGATTTCACTTTTGAATTAAACCTTATTAAAACAAAACATTTAGAAATACTGAATGTGTGGTTCCAGAAAATATCCATACCCCCTTGAGGGGGGGGGGGGGTTCCAGTTTGATCCTCCACCTTGCAGGATTTTCCATTCCAGGGGGCTCACGGTACTCCCCCCACCTCCTGGAATTTCCATGATTTTTCTACTTGGGTTCCCCTACCCCTTGAAAATTCCATATCCACAAAGAACAACACTTAAGTCATTTATTTTAATCCCCTTGGTACTGTAATAAAATTCATATATTGCAGACGGAGATGCAAGGCGGCATATTTTCACAAACAATGGGAAACCTTGATTTGGTCACACAATGTACACTATTTAATTGTACATCATTTATGAGGATATTTGCTGGGTCAAGATCAAAGCTGCTGGGTAATGAAAGATTAAGGCTCTGAGATTTAGTTTCCAAAAAGTGACCGTGGAAGATTCTAGATGTAACTTCATTTTATGTTAAAAATGTGTTTGAAGTAACAACTGACTTAGAAGTGCTTCACTCCAAAATGGCATAGCAGCTGACTTTTCTTCATTCAAAGAAGTTTTCGTATGAGAATCTAAGAAAGCACTTGTCTGAAAATTTAAGCTGTTTTAAACAACCCAATCGAAGTTTTACTTTATGCATAGTCAAAACAACATATGGAATTACATTACACATGTGGAAAGTAAAGTTGTCACGCAACATGTTTTTCAAAACAGCTGTTTTGCCAAATATTGCTTAGATTTTTCTTTCAGGAAAGGAATACATCAATAAAGTCATACTCTTTCTCTTTGTAGTTTGTAAATGATAGTAAATTCAGTTTGAGCCTTAGTGTTTGTAACTTGTCACACGTTTCATGTACGTGAAACGTTGTTCAGTCATTCTATGAATAACCAAATGAAATCTTGGCTACTGCTCCAGTGCTCCTTGCTATCCATGGTTACATATGCTTCAAGACAACTAGACAAATGGTGTTGAATTGACCTTGCTAACTAACTTAAACAAACTATTAACTACATGGGCAACAATGTAAATATGTGATAACCTTGTTACGGCAAGCTTTTGTCTTGCACCACCGCTACTCTGTCGGGACACATGGTCGGGAAAAAATTATCATTTAATTGATTTCTGTTGCTTAAATTGTACATTTTACTTTAAAAAAGATTTGTATTGCTTCACATTCTCTCACGAACTGTCTACTAAACAGAACGTCTGAAGTTTGCCATTTGGAAAAAAATACCCAACATATTTTCACTCATGTCCACCTCTTGCTTGCCTGTTGGGCAACCTGTGATAAGAAGGTGCTAGGCCGACCGATCGTTTCACTAGTCCCGGGCTATTGGACAGCGTTTTTGTCACATCCTGCTCCCCATCCAAGGAGCTGAAGACATAGTATCCATCATCCTTGTTAACTTTGGTTCCTTGCCTGCTACCTAGGTGAGGTTGGTCACTTATTTTATGTATGCCTTGTCGATTTCTTCCAGATTTACCTCTTCCACTGCTGTCATCTCTTCCTTTGCTCTTTTTTTGTCTCAGGACAGTGCTTATGTGAGGCTGGTTCCCTAATGCAGTCAGAATGTTCACAACAATTCATCACACACTAAATTCACATTGCTAAATTCACAACTCAATTTACATGTACAACCTGGTTTGGAGGCTAACAGGCCAAATGTTCAGCCCATCCCCACTTTTGCTATTCAGCAATTTGACAATCTTTTCCTTCTCATGAAATGATTATATGAATAACTCAAGACATGTGAATCTCATGTACTTTGCAATCAACATTACATTACTAGAAAACCCTTGGTTACTTCAGTCTCCAGACTCATGCAGTACACTTTTTTCTTTGTCTTTACATTTTACTGATATAAAAAAAAAACTGTAAATGTACGAGTAAATAAAGCTATTGTTGTTGTCACATTGCACCAGTCACAAACCCTCTCCATGTTCTAATAGGCTTCTTAATGTTAGTGCATTGTTGAGCACTCATTCGTTCGACACATGTTTTTAATAGGACCACATGTTGCTTTTTTTTACCAAAAATACAGATTTTCAAACTTTGGGAGGTTCCTGTTCATTCAGTTTTAATTTTTCAGCCCTGTGAATGGAACCAAATGGATAATTTTTTAAGGATCAAAATCATGCTGGTATGCTTCCCTCTCTTTGAAAATTGCAATTAAAGTAATGTACACAATTTCGGGACCCAGTGCCAGAGACACTTGGTGTTCTGGGCAGTTTAGAGAGAAGAACGACAGGTGATGAAATGGTTAAAATTGTGGGGTTTGCTGGCAAGCATTTCTTCACTCGTCTTGTTTTATGCCAGCCCAAAATGCAGAACGGAGGACTCTAATTTGTATAGGAACTTTGCTATGCAACCCAGGGGGAGACTCCCACATGAAAAGGCCGGGGATGCTCTTCGTCTCGCTTTAATAAGGGGATTTTGGTCTCACTTAGGGTGTTCATGACAAAATACCACTAATTTTAGCTGTCAAAGTATCTTTTAGGGTGCAGTCGAAGAAATAATAATAAAAAATGTTCTTATTTCTGCTTTTAGGCTTGATTTATGTGGATCTCTCGAGTCTGGTCTACAATCTAGCGCAGGCTCCTTTTTTTGAACAGCAGCTGGTAATGGACTCTAATCTGTTTTACAGAGTAAATTTTGGCATCTTTTTAGTTTTAGGGTTCAAATAAAGCTTGAGCCACACCCAGATTGATCTCCTTTAGGGGTCTAATTCAAATTAGAATTAGGGGAGTCTCTGACCTCAGGGTTATGCATGCTATAGAAACTCAAAATATCTTTCAAGAAAAATTAAGCTTTTGAAATTTAGACAAATGTAAATTATACTACAAGTAAAAATCGTTTTCTTTTCTAAGTTTTTTTGGTCACTACTGAGGGGGAGTTGATGTATTAGACATTCTTAAATATAAATCACTCTGACTGTTACTTTTTAAATGATTATAGGTGCTTCATCACTTGGAAGTGTTTTCAGGGAAACTAATGACTTGGAGTCAGTTCAAGTTGTCCACCATGCAATAAAGAACGGGATTAACTATATCGATGTTGCTCCCTGGTATGGTCATGGCAAAGCAGAGACTGTTTTAGGCAAGGTCCGTATTTTTTACAATAATTAGTCAAATATTTAATAATTTTTGTTAGTAATAGTTATCTCGAGTCATCATACTTAGTTACAGAAGATTGAAATAAAAGCATATTCTAAATTAATTACTGTTAATGATTCAATTTAACGCCCAGTGGATAGTAAGGTGTTGTAACATTATTGCATTCCTGGATAGTACATGAGATGGAAATTTCTCAATGGAAAGTACCAGAGTTTTTCTCGAAATTGGCTTTTCACATGAATAAGAAATTTAAGACATGGGGTAAGTCTCTGCAGTTACCATATGCTAATGAAGCAAAATTTTGGTCAACATCAATCCAATATGGTCTAAGCTCTAGTAAGCAACCACCTCCTGTAAGCAACCACCTACACCTGTAGGCTTGACGTTGACATGGTCACTTATGGGAGATTCGACTGCAACACCAAAACTATTCCTCTAGAAGAGAATGCTAATTTAATAAA